ATTTTCGAATTCCTGTGGAAAAGTGCTTTTAATAGAGGTAAAATTTTTCTAGACCGTACTTTCCCTTCAAGCATATTAAAAAATGAGTGTGATGATAAGGTTTTCGCGCACTAAACTGGACTTCGCGTGAAACGTACAAAACGGGAAAAATTAACTCGGTAGAGACCTCTCGGCTTAAGAGGACGGGAACTCGTCACGATTTCCTGGTACACGGAGATCTACTTCAAGCGAGCTTATACGGACGTCAAGGACGAGACAGCGTTTTGGTTCCACAACAGAATTTATTCGTAGAGCACTCTAACATACGTCATGCCACAGTCAAAATTAAACTTGTAATCGGCACGCAGTCGTCTGTGTAATTGGCACTCCATCGTGTATGTAACCGGCACGCCGTCATGTATGTTATCGAAAAAGCTTTACAAAGTACTTGCTTAAATATAAACTGTTGTGAGGTTCCACTGTTCTCTAAATCTACCATATTTGAACAGTATCACCAAAGAAGCGGAAAATATTTCTTTTAAGTGAAAAAAAAACTAGTTAAATATTCCATCTGTTTCTACAGTAAACCAGCTCGAGGTCATTAACAATGGGAAACTCAGGTGAGAATTCACAGGTCTGATATAGAAAATATACCTATCTTAATAATAGTAGAGCAGTTAAGGAAATAAAAGTGGAAAAGTATTTAAAAGTTTCTGCTCATCTATGCAAGGTTGGTGTGGGAAACTATCGTATGAAAGGAAATTAAAATTATGAGTACAAACTCAGCTGCCAACTACCATGAGAACCAATTTTTCCATAAATACCATTAACACATATTTACCTAAAATTTCACCGGTAATGAACAACAAAAGTACCGACAGACAGGTGTACAATGAAAGCAAGCAACAAAGCGGAAATCTCTTAGTTTACCATTCAAAAGCTATGATGGTTTTTTATTTTTTATTTTTTATATAATAGAATGAAAGAACTTCAGAGAGCTCGAATAAATTGGAAATGGTTAAATGTGAAAAGTTCACGAATAATTTTCCAAACAACCACACCGAAAAATCAGTAAATATCCTCGTAACATTCCTCCCACCTTAAATCGAGACCTCCTGGTTGAGAAAAACTCCTTGAAAATGTAAAGGTCATAATGACCATGAACTTGGCATTCTTATAACAGATAAATCATTCTTGAATAAAAACAATATTTCTCTTCTTGTATGCCCTTATGTCGTATTTCTTACCGCGCGTTACCCTCTATTTACACAGGAGTTGTCAACCTAATTCTTGAAAGAATTTTAAAATGACACGTTAACAATCGTCTTGATCCTATCATACTTCCGGGTCAACAGCTAAGTGGTACTCTCTACTTGTTGCTAAAGTCAGTCGTGGCTCTGAGGATAAGTAGTCTTCTTAGGCATTTCCATTCCTGGAAGTGCTTCTTGATATTGATCAAATCCCTGGTTAGATTCCATTCTGTAATCAATTTTGGCAGGAGTATGAGAAAGATCGTCTTAGTGCCAAACCTTCTTTTGTGACACCTGTGCGAAGGACGGTAGTGGTTTCTGGATACAGTGGAACCTCGATTATCCGGACTATTCGACTATCCGGACTCTTTTCTCTGGTCCCAATTTTTTCATGAATATTAATTCGTTGTGATCTTGAAAACTCAAAGTCGCAAAAAGCCCAATAATTCTTTCAAAAGACTATGGAAACAGCATATTATCATATGCGCTTTTCAAAATTCGTAAGTGCGACGAGACAAAGGAATATTCAGATGCGTTCAGCTGATATCTGATTGGCTCAATTGTTTTGTTGCGGAGGGAATTTCATGCTTGATTAGTTCCTTCCGCGTGGGTTATGTAAACACACGAGTGATCGATCGTAAACTCAAATCAAAAACATGCCTACGAAGCGAAATCGAGCCGTTCTATCGATTAAAGATAAGCAGATAATTATTTCACATTTCTATCTCATTAACATTCATATTTTTGATTATCCGGACCCTCGATTATCCGGACTATTTACCGAGGTCCCGACGAGTCCGGATGATCGAGGTTCGACTGTAGTGCAACTTCTTTGTTCTTTGGATAACGGGAAGGCAAATCTCCAGCAGAAGGCCGCACTGAACCTTCACTGGTAAAGGCGTGTCCATTTCCTCTGACATTCTTTTCTTGAGGTTTAAACGTTCTTAAGCGCTGAGGCTGAACATGCTTGCTCTTGTTGATTTTCTGATTCTTTTAGAGTAATGGTGTTGTTATCGAGGTCAATCATAGCTCTGTTTACTTGGAGGAAATCGCGACCAAGGATGGAGTCATAAGCAAGGTTCTGCACGACCTGGAATTCACAAGGGAACGGCAAGGTAATTCTTCTTCGCTGTAGGTTGTCTTTCCCAGTCTGAACTGCAGAAAAGGAAACGTCACCGTAGGTCTCTTTGAAAAGTTCTTCTTTTACAGCTGAAACGCCTGCACCAGTATCCAACATTAGACGCACAGGTTTTCCTGCTATTTTACCTTTATTGATCAGGTTGCTAGGGTACGTTTCTGCTTTATTTACAAGGGGTAGCTGGACATTTGACTGATTTGGCGTTTGTAACTTTCTTGGCTTCTGGTTTGGATTTGTCGGCTTTCTACCGTGGTCGCTGGTTCGTGTCGGCTTCATCTTCTTTAATAAATTAGGGTTGTTTGTGGCGTTTTCCTCTTCCTCGTAAGTGGAAGATTCTTCTGGTTGACGGTAAGTTGGTCGGGTAGCACGATGTAGGACCTGTCTCTCCTTCCGGAAACCTTCCATAGATTGGTTATAGTTGCAGTAATACTGAATATGGCCACGGCGTCCACATCGATAACATACGGGTTTAGTATTGAAACTGTACTTCCTCCTTTTATAACTGACTTCCTTTTTGGGCTGTTTATTCCGGGCAATTTTTACTATAATGAGGGGCTAGAAAATAAACTAACCAGAGCTCCACTTTCAGGCTTAGCTAAATCTACATATTTATTGTTACCCAGCCCTTCTTAAACAAACAATTCCCGAAATCTTGCCGTACATTGTGTCCCCAACCAGTTTATCAGGTTAAATGCCGTTTGGTTATCATACACAGGGTGATGGCGCAAATACCGCTGCAAGTGAAAGAGAACCAAAGAACATCCCAAAGACGTGCCACATTGACCTTACTGTCAGCAACGAGGAACGTGATAAGATGAAATTTTCAATTATTAAGGGACAGAAAGAAACACATTGGAGAAATCCTTTAACGGTGTAAATAGGTTTAAATGTTGTTTTGTATCTTTTCCTTAACTTTTCGCAAATTAGTTTCGCTTTTGTATAGTCTTAGTACAAAGTCTAAAAAATTCAAATATGTCCAGTCCTTATCCAGTCTTGCGCCATTAATATATGCCGCTGGGCTTGTGGGTTCTCGGCACAGAAATAATGTGCCGCGATCTCGTAAAATTTTCTTGCTCAAAGAGTCTGAGTCATCCCATCAGCATTGACCTCACTTTCAACATGGGCCAATATGAAGGTACACTAGTAGTGTATAAGCAATTGTCCTTGAGGACAAAAAGATACGGTCAAAAATCCAGTCTTCCTTGGTCCAACAATGCTGCATCACAAAAAGAACTTTTACACGTAAAAAGTATTGGCATCAGCTTGTGTAAGTAGCTGTAAGGGATTAACTGTAGGAAAAGGTTTCATCACAGACGGAGAAGAGGAGCAATTCTGTGCCTGGAAAACAGAGCTTCCAAAAGCAACCCATTTGAGGTGTATCCGTCACTTCCAAAGCAACTGTAAAGAAAAACTCCGCGAGACAGGTATAAGAGAAGCCAAGTCACAAAAAATTTTCCTTGAAAAAGTTTTCGGAATTCCAGAGAGAATGGATGGCATTGTGGATTCAGAGAACGAGACCGAAGTAAAAGAACAGCTTCAAAATGCAAAAGAAGTGCTTGACGAGAAAGAAAAGGAACTGCTGAAAAAGGAATCCTCCTATCGGCCGCTGTTTTCTAAATTCCTCGACGAAAGACGAAGAATGATTGCGAAAAGAATGAGTTTGAAAGCAACACGAAAAGCTAGAATGCCTACTGGCTCAAATGAGAAACCTGCCAGACCATATATCAATGGCTCAGAAGTAATTAACGATGTGTTGTTTCAAGCAAAAGAAAGCTATCTTCGAGGGCATAAGAAGCCAGAAACGACGCAGCTCTCTAAACTAGAATTCACAAAAATATCTTTGAAGAGATACACCGGAAACAACAAGAGGAATTAATATTGGCAGTCATCGGTTTAAGTGACAAACATGAATTATCAAAAATAGCGACGCACTAAGCTGTTCCTGCGGAAGTCTTGTTTGAATGGAGTGTGGCAAAAAGAAAAGAGTACATCGCAAAGTTCCACTTGATGTTAATCGACGACGTTATTTCCAAGAAAACCATCTCGGTGAATGACATATATGCCGAGAGATGTACAGATAGGGAGTTCCATGAGTTACCCAAGAAATTATATAAAATTTTGGTATCCGAGCGAGGATACAAAGAAGAAGTAGCCTTTGCGGTAAAAGAAGGGACACTCCTGCTACTCAATTGTCCATCGGCAAACCAAAGGCTGCCTACTCTTGACGAAGGAAGGCCCAGAATAAGTTTGAAGTAGCTTCGAAGTCCGCTAAGCACGGAAGAGTAGAGTGTACTGTTCACGCTAACCACGTATAGTGTCCGTGCCCAAGTTTCAAGTCCGATAAAGTTTGCAGGCACTCAGTTGCTGTAGCGGCGAAAAACGAAATGCTTCGCAAACACCTTGAACAAATTTGCAAGGGCTAAGGTGGAAAAAAGCCCTCGCGAACTGCTCTAGCAGAAGCGTTTGTGAATAAATGTGTTGCCGGAAAGAAAGGGTCTAGAAGCAAGTCCCATTACCGCCCCTCTAACGCAAGTGATTCTACAGCAAATGCCATTCAGTCAGAAGAATCGTTTAACAATGCTACATACGTTTACAATGAAATTTATAACAATGACCATCCATTTGTCTCATGCATGCTGCCTTCTGATGCGAAAACATGCAAGGGGTGCGAGAACGACTTTTGTCACGGGCAGAAAATAATACCATTCGATCTGGTGTTTTCGCACAAGGAACGGTACCACTTTCCTTTGCATCGAGATTGGATAAATGAGCAAGCTTCAAACAGGGAGTCAACGCGTTACTACCACGCTGACCCGAAGTGTATCATGCCACGGTTCTCTTACTTCTCTAACGACTTTATCGAGATCCCTGGCGAGGTTCGCAACTCACTCCAAGAATCGCACAAAGTTTATTTGGAGAATCTACCCTTGCTATCAATCTAATGGCAAATTTCTATGTTCCTTTGTTTCGTGAGATTTGAAGAATAAAATGATATCCAGGCGATCGATTTCGAATCCAGCCATGTTTTTCATATTTTCTAAGTACCTTTGCAGCACACTTTTCGCCCAGATTTTCTACGTTGTTGTGCAAGTGACGTTTATATTGAAGAAGTTTTCAAGGTTTTGTTACAGTTTTTCCTCGCCAGACGTTTTAATTACCGCTAGTCGATGTTATTGCGTCATTATATACGACCACATGCTTGTTATGTCTATTGTTGTGCAAGGGACGTTCATAGTGAAGTGGTTTCCAAGGTTTTGTTGCAGCTGCCAAGGGCTTTTCCAGTCCCTAAACTTATAAATCGCTAGGAGGAGTAGCGTGACGCTTTGAATAAGGTATTCATTTATAATTTTTTACCCGCAAGAAAAATTTTTATCGAAATCAATTGGTCGAATTACCATGTTTTATTGGACAAACAACACTACATTCTTCCTCGACGGAAGTTTAATTACCGCTAGTCGATGTTATTGTTATTAATAAACTTATATCTTGTTGCGTCATTATATACCACCACATGCATGTCATGTCTCTTCTATTAAATCTCGTTTTAGTTTTAAAGAATTTCCATTGAAAGCTCCACGGGGCTCTACTGTTGAAATATTCCGTAATAAATTACAGACGTGCCAAATTCAGAATTCAAGATTTTTTTATGAACATAATCTTTGTCCACAAAGGTAATATCAACCTCTTTTGTACTTGTTTTAGTAATGTGTCTTTGTTTTCTCAAAGGGATTTCGTTTTCGTAGGGGGGGCTTAGGTCTTCGTTTTCGTAATGGGTTTTCGTTTTCGTAGGGGGTCTTAGGTCTTCGTTTTCATAACTGCCTTTCGGTAGACCCATCTCTGGACATCAAGGACATTTCTAAAATGATTTGTTATTTCAAATTTACCTTTACATGGATTTTACTTACACCTCAACTCACAGGTAATCTATTTCACCGGGATTTTGATCAAATAGTATAAGTGTTTACTTTCTTCTTTGAGTTCATCTTTTAAGGTACCTTAATTAATTTAGATTAACTTTATTTTTACTATAGCACATTGTTTTGCCTTTTAGAATGTATACGGTGTTTGAATTCAAATCAAAGGAATCACAATTGTGACCGTGAAAGGCAAAACGGACACTAACAGTCATCCGTTCGAACGGGTAAACCGTTCTTTTTTCCGTTCGTCATCCGTTCGAACGCCTAAAAAAATCCGTTTAAAGTGTTCGACAAACCGTTCGAACGGTTTGCATATTCGTTCAAAATACATTAGCATCTGTTCAAAGTATTGTGATATCCGTTCGAACGGTTCTGACATCCGTTTGAACGGTTTCCAACGGTTTTTGCATCCATACGCTAACTAGAAGTGTCCGTTCAGAGAACTGCGGCATCTGTTCGAACGGTTGACGTCTGTTCTGTTCATCCGTTCGAAAGGAGTAAATTGCACTCTTCGTTTCTCTGCAGTTATTCAGTATAGCGGTCAAAACGTCGCGATCCACATCTATGTGACTCAGTCGTGAGACAAACAATGAACTCAGCTGTCATTTTCAACCACGATGACAAACACCTTCATGAGATATTCAGTAGTTTCAGACAACAACTAAAAACGTTATTTAGATAAGAAATTGAAATAGTCTCCATTTTCGATCGTGAGAATAAAGGCCTTGAAATTGACAACAACGACAAATGAAATGAAAACAATACACAGCAACATTGCCTGTTTCATGATCAAGCCATGCGCTCGGAACGGTTTCGAAAACCATTTAAGCATCCGTACGATTGGTAAACCAATCGCACAACCAATCATACGGATTAACAATATTATTTTCACCCGTTTGAACGGCTTGCCAGTCCGTTCGACGTTATCCGTTTTATGCATCCGTTCGAACGGCCAAGCAAACTGTTCAAGTGATTTATTCACCCGTACGAATGGTTTGCCCGTCCGTTTGAAATTTTTACTCATCCGTTCGATCGGTTGACCAAACAGTTCAAATAATTTATTCACCCGTACGAACGGTTAGGCAAACCGGTCGAACTCCTCAAGGACCGTTCGTTGACCGTTCGTTAACCGTTCGTCATCTGTGCGTTTTTGCCCTTCGAGCGGTTTTCCGTTAGCACCCGTTTTGCCTTTCAGGGATCACACATTCTTGTCGGATAAAATCGAAAGTATGAATTGTTGTAATTTAATGCCCTTCTAAATATTCTCCCTCAGATGGCGGAAGTGTCACATGGTATGAACCAACTCCGGTTAAGACAACATCAGATCAAGCCGAAGTACTCACCCCTGGCAAGTTACAGGTTTATGAAGGATCTTCTACCACATTGAATTGGAATTACAGTCTGACGTCAAATTTACTTTCGGTTCGCATACAATTTAATGGTGTTGGTATAGTTGCCGTTTCATCAGATGGACAAGCTGGTCCTGTTAATCTTAATTTTCGGCAACGGATCAGCATAAGCTCGACTCCACAAAGCGTTTCTCTGTTGATCTCTAAAGTGACTACTGCTGACGATAAGTCAAATGGAGAATTTAGCTGTGAGTTGAGGGACTTAAATGCTGCTAAGTGGAGACGTGCAATTCAGGTGCAAGTTGTAGGTAAGCTTAAAAGTTTTCCTGACTTTTAGAGATTCTTACCATCAATAACTATAATAAAATGTTATCTAGCTTTTGTCTTTTGGGCCCAATGAATGTGTATGTAGACTTTTGAAGGACAAGAGTAATTCTTTACGCGGAAAACTTCAACATTCCTTTCAACAAATGTATTGATTAATTGGATTTTATGTTATGGATTTTATTGTGCATGACACATTTAATCCGAGGTACTTTTCAATAGAACACTTTACTATTGTTTAGTTGTTGAGGTTAGTTGGGGACTTTCCCGGAGAGCAAAATATCCAATATAATGCTCGTAAACCTCTTTTTCTCCATATGTTGCAAAATATTTGAAGGATAATGACCACAACAACCTCTATTTTGCGCAAAAGCATGCTACTAGAAAATTATACTATTAAATTATACTATTGAATATGATTATTAGAAAATTAGACTCGTCAAGTTTGATATGATCATAATACTTTACACCTTGTATCTTCAATTAGCTTTAGCTTTTCCTCATTTTATGAAATGTTATATCTAATCTTTTGTAAATAGTCTTAAATTTTAATTTTAATCTCATATCGTTTCAGTTATTTGCGGATGGTATTATCTCAATTAAGTTCTTTTTTCACTTTTACTTTCTGCGTTTAAACCTAAGCTGGTGAGATTGTTCTCACAAAAGCTAAGTGTATGTGTACAATAAACTTGACTTGACTAGCTTGTATAGTTGTCCTTGATTATGACCTGTTCCTTAAAGCTCACAGTTTTTTGCATCAGGGAACAGATAATGTCCGTAGACAAATATTTGTGATTGTTTTCATGCCAAATAGAGGCTACTGTTGATAAACATATATTCTGTCGCATGATGCATTTAGACCAATTACTTGCATGCAGATGTATTTCAAGGATGATAAAGATAATTATGTGAGAATGGTGTGATCACAAAGCGACAATAAACTTGACTAATCCTTCAAATTTAACATGTTGCTGTTTTTTCACAAGTCCAACTTCAACAATGAATTATTTACATACATACAGTGATATACATGGTCTATACACGTGTATAACCTCTATTAAAATTAGATAAACTAAAAAGAGAATGAGATAGAAATTAACTCTTAGCATTAGTGTTCCATTTAATTCAAAGAGCTGTTGATCACTTTATACTGGAAAAATTGCAATTAAAATGGCAGATAAATGTTGTAAGATAATCATCATGAGTGATCAGAAAAATTCCAAATTTTTTTAGCAGAGGGCACGGTAAGGAATCATGCAATCTGATTGGCCAAAAAGATTGCAGGAGTCATTATATGGTGACATATTATAATTTGCTCGTCACAATTTGGTGGGCTGAGTCCCTGAAGAAATTATTTTTTGAGGGAATGTTCTTGTAAATAGCTCCATTGAGTCTCAATATTAATTTCTACAGAATCTTTTTTTAGAATGCTTTAGTAATGCTTTGTTTGAACTGAGAAAAGAATTCAGAAAAATTTAGTGGCCTTTTGAGGGTCCACTGAATTTCTTAAAGAAGACATTTATGTATATTAAAGCACTTATAAAGGGTTATAATCAAGGGACTGTTTTTGTGTAATTTGCAAAATCATAATACGTCTGAATTTCATTTGCAAGCGCAAGGTTTGCGAAAAACATTTAAAAATCGTGTTAATAGTATTATCACTTTTCCGTGCGCTTATGAGTCAACATGCAATTCAGTTATCCTTGAAGTTTACTTGTGAATGTTTTATTGCTCTCAGTTCCATTAAATATTACTGGGATAAGAGGTGAACCAACTGTTCTTGAAGGCGATAATTTGCAGTTAATCTGCAAAACATCGAGTGAGATGGAACCAAACATCACCTGGACCAAAGAGAAGGTTGGGAACCGAGGGAATGTTGGTGTGGTGCAAGAAGGAAAGGTGCTGAATATACCAAACATCAGCCGGACTGATGCAGGAACATTTACCTGTACAGCATACAATGGCTTTGGTAAACCAGCGAACCAAACAGTTTATGTGAATGTTGTTTGTAAGTAGATGCACTTTCCATGTATGTACTGGGCTGTCAATTACTTTTATTGATGGTAGTTTAGCTATGTTCATCTGTGCAGGGCTCCAAACTCAAAATGGTTGCTGTAAAATACACAAACAAAAAAACTCACATCGAAAGGAGCGTTTTTTTTGCTGCACTTCATAAGGTGTTTGGTGAGCCAGATGACAAATTGTCTACCCTTGTAAACTGAATTCTCAGTTTTCTGGAAATTCTTAGGAATCCTCAAAAATTCCCAACTATTCAATTCAATATGGAATTTCATCATCATCATATTTTTATTTGCCTTATTTACACACTACAAAAAAATTTATTTACAGCGGTTATAGCTAGAAGGCGAGGAGACCCAGGAAGCCACTGGGCTTATGGGAGAGCCACCTCACTTACATTAATAAATAAAGTAAAGAAAAGGTGCTGCGAATGTGCGGCTAGGCCAATTCAAGGATGATTTAAGTAAAAACTCTTGCATTTTCGTCTTAAAACTAAGAAGGTATGAACGGGTGACTGAAACAGGGAGAGAGTTCCAAATTTTAGGACCTTGGTAAAGAATTGTAAATTGCTTGAGATTTGTGCGACACAAATGCGTTCGATAATTACTGGCTGTTCTGGTACCATAGTTGTGAATTTGGCTATTCGTTACAAAAAGATTGAGAAGCAATGGAGGCAATAAGTTATTTCTATAATAAAACATGAATTTGGCGATTTCAAAAGTATTGACTTGGAAAATATCTAAAATTCCTAGTTTGGAGAGCGGAATGGTCTCGATAGTCTGAGTTGGTGATAGCCTGCACAGCTCGCTTTTGCAAGTAATAAATTCTATTTAAGTTAGATACGTATGTGGACGACCAGGCACAGTTACAATAGACGATATAAGGATAAATTAAGGTGTAGTACAAAGTGAGCTTGGTTGTAGAGGATAGGAAAAAGCGAGACCTGAATATAATACCTATTGATTTAGCGATTTGTTCACATATATAGCTTATATGGTGTTTCCAAGTGAGATGATCATCAATATAGACCCCAAGGAATTTAGTTATGTTAGATTGTTGTAGGGGTTTACCTCCAAAGGAGAGAGAAATGCTGGAGTTAAATTTCTTCTGTCTGGGTTTAAAAATTACGTAGTTAGTTTTCCTTATATTAACTGAGAGCTTATTGCATTTTAGCCAGACATCAATATTTTGGAGTTCATCATTAAGTACGGATTCTAAGCAATTTGGGTTTGAGTGAGAATAAAAGATACTGGTGTCATCAGCGAAAAGCAGAGGGTCTGTTAATTCAGAGGCATTAGGGAGGTCATTTATGTATAGAATGAACAATAGAGGGCCTAAAATCGAACCTTGGGGGACACCACACTTGATAGTTTGCATAGGAGAGCAGGCCTGATTGAATTGGGCAAATTGCTGGCGGCAAGAAAAGTAGCTTTTGAACCACTGCAGAGCCACGTCACGGATACCATAGTGCTCCAATTTTGCAAACAAGATATGATGGTCGAGGGTGTCAAATGCTTTGGAAGGATCTAGGAAAACGCCCACCGTTGTTTCGTGTTGGTCGATTGCAGAAGCTATTTTATTTACCAAATGAATTAGTGCGTGCGATGACGAGTGATTTTTCCGAAATCCAAACTGACAGCGGTAAAGTATATCGTGTTTTTCGGCAAATTCTACCAAGCGATTGTACATAACTTTTTCGAAAAATTTGGAAAAAATTAGATAACAAAGAAATAGGTCTGTAGTTTACAAAAAAATTAGGATCCTCTGCTTTGAAGATGGGAATAATTTTAGCGATATTAAGTTTGTCCGGGAAAATGCCTTTTAGCAGAGATAGATTGATAATATCTGCCAATGGAGCAGAAATAAGGTGAAATACATATTTAATGACATGCATTGGGATACTGTCATAGCCAGGAGCTTTCTTTGAAGCGAACATGTCACAAATGCTTTCCAGTTCACTTGTTGTGGTGGGCTTTAAGTTTATGGAGGGATGGATATTATCACTAAGATAAGAACGAAAAGAAGGATTCACCTTGGGTATAGATTTAGCTAGGTTTGGACCAATGTTTGTAAAGTATTTACAGAATCTGTCAGCGATCTCCATAGGCATAGTTAGGGGAAAAAAATTGCATTAACGCGGAGCGATCAGATATTTGTCCACACACATCGCTCGCACCTGCTTATCTTATATTTCTAATGAAGCAGCAGTTAATTGTGTTAAATGCAAACTGCCAATTAATCCAGTGTACTCATATCACAGATTTGCTTTCTAACCTCAAAGGACTCTTGGTTTCAATGGTCATAAAAGTTTTTATTATGATGCAAAATGTCTCGTGTTCATGCACAGATGTGCCAAACTCATCAAACATTCATCAGCTGTTCCTTAGTACACAACTTCCACGTGTGTAAGAATAATTACATTGTTATCTACACTTAAAGAACTTTGTTAGATATGAATATAAGTTACTTCCCTAATCTACATCACTGGTTGCCTTTGTTAGAAAACCTTGGAACAGTCAAGCTCGGTTGCCTCAAACACAGTGCTCAGATTATTTTTAATAGAAATTTTATGCCTTAGACAATTGAATTCAACACCTAATTAATCTTTCTTTTTTATGATTGTTGTTTTTGTTGTGATTTTTTTAGTTTTCTGCTCTGTTTTTGTGACTGATTATTGTTATTTTTTTGGTTGTTTTTATTCTTACAACACATTTTTTGAGTTCCAATACTTAGACAGAGATAGAGGTTATCACTGTTCCCCTCGAGAAAAAACACCTTTTAAATGACTTCTTCAATTTACTTTATTTATAACTCTGCTCTGAAAATATTTTTAAAACAAGACTCGTTAGTAGTGAGAAGTACAAACCGAGTTTCCTTTCATAACTTAATTTCTTAAATGTCCCAATCACTGAACCTCCTAAAAATATTACTTTTTGTTTTCGGTGCAAAATACAAGTCCTTCTGTAATAGCATATAGTTGCTTCAGTCTCTTGTACAAATGTTTCTCCTTTATGAGACGCACTTGACTCTGTTGGCGCTACTGCTTGGTGACTGATTGATTCAAAATTCCAATGGAGTCATTAAACTTTCAGGTCTTAGTTCGCAAATGGAAATGTTAGATTAGGGATTTTCGATGGAACTTTCCAGAGCTATAGCTTTTTGCGGCTGCAAAATTGCAATCCTATAGAAGACTTTTGTGCGAATTTCCTTAATTTAACTGGGCTTCATTACCAGCAGCTGCGTGCGCAGGGACCACGCTCGAGGTCCTCGAGAGAGCAGCTTAAATAATGCCTATAATGTAAACCGATACTAGAAGATACAAATGCCACGTCCATGGCATTCACAAATACTGTAATGAAATTAGAGTAGTTATGTTCCAATTGTCACGACTCTATCGGATCCATCAGGGTTTTAATATCTGGGAATTTTTTTTTTCGGTTTTGGATGATTTTTTCTACGGTTTTGCAGTTTCTAATAGGTCCCAATGCCTCCCTCGTTAACCATTATGAGCTTAATATCGAGGAAAAGCTTTCCACAAACGATCGTGATGGAGATGAAATACCAGTAACATGAAAAGGAAACCGACCGGCTGAATTTATCCCTTAAGTTAGCCTGCCTGTTTTAGGATTGTGAGGAGGAGCTAGTAGAAACGACGAAAAGTGGCTGTGTGACATTTGTAGGAAAGAAAAATTTGGACTAAAACACAAACAGGAAGACAACAGAAACAATCTATTCTACTTGTATCTTCATTGGTGTAAATGGCCTTAAGCAGTTTTCCTATTCAAAACTCTGCGGTGAACAGAATTTTTCGGAATTCTTTAATTGATTATGAGAAACTTATTTAAAACCAAAAATGTTAGTCATTGAGTAGATTACTATATCATCATACAAATCTGCTAATAAATATTGAATGGTGGCTTTGCATAATGAAAAAAAATCAGCATGTTGAGAATCCATTTTTCAATGATAGGTTACTTATAACTGTACATCAAGAGTACCTGCCCAAAACTGATAAATCAATTCACTCAGGGTCTCCAGCGACGTTATTGTAAACATCAAATTACTGATCACCACTACTGACAAAAAAGAAAAGATTTCACTGATCTTGAAAAAGTAAATCTAGAATTTTATGTGAAATTATAAAGGTAAAACCGAAAAAAAAGAGGCAATGATACTTGCGTAAGTTTCACTGATTTTTAATCGATCATGTATGGCAAGCTGTAAGGTTAAATACTTCTTTTCATTTTCTTTTTCAAGACTTTAAAACAAAATGAAACTGACTAAGCTGAAAATTTCTCTCAGTTTAGTTGTGAACTATTTGTAGCTTATTCCAGTTTCCTGCAAGAAATACAGACTGGAAAAAGCTGTCAATTTCTGGCAACAGCTAATACATGCATTAAATTCCAGCTATTTCCAGCTTTTAAAAGAACTTAAAACTTGGAAAAACTGGAAAGTATTTTCTAGAAAAAAGCTAGAATAGGATTCTGGAATAAAGCTGCCATGTTCGAAAAATTTTTAGAAACTTCCAGAGCTGGAAATTGGTTTTAACTACAGGATAATTCACTAATAATTATTCCAAGGATTGATAAATATATCACATTTTCCCTCCTTTTTTTCTCAATCTGTTGGTTGCCAATTGGCAACTTCTGTTGAAATTTTAGTTGCCAAATAAATTTTTCACTCATCAGTAGGACCAAAATGGTTGGAGCATGAAGCTCTATCATGTTCTGGGAGGTGTTTTCGCCCACCCCTGTAAATATAAACTCCTCTTCAAATGAAGATTAGATGTTGTGTTAGGAGACTCTAGTGCTCCATTATCTGTGTTAGCAAATATGTTCTGTTGATGTTGATTTCAAAATCTTTGACAATCCATTTCAATATATCTGGTAAGATCTCAGCTTAAAGATTTGAAATATAAATATATACAAATTAGGTGTATCTTTGTGCAGATGCTGTCTTTTAATCTGCTTTTTTATTTTCCAATTTCATTTCCAGATCCAGCTAAGATTGTTAAATTTGAGCCTGAGTATATTGTTGTTGTACAACAAAGTGTAACTCTTAACTGTGGAGCAGTAGGAAACCCTCCACCTACTTACACTTGGACTCCATGTAATGACTTAGAACAAGTTTGTGACAAGAGCACTCTTCATATTTCACAAGTCCTTGATGATGCCAAGTATACCTGCGGAGTGGCCAATGCACATGGACTTGATTCAAAAACTGCCAATGTTTGTAAGTCACATGTACATTGTAGTCATGAATCTAACAGCTGTAACTTCATACTTGTACCAACATGACATTTTGATTGGGTTCTCAGAGTTCAACGAGGTGTTAGCCTGTCGGGTTATAAAAGCCCATATAGTGCCTTAACTTTTTCTTGATGGATAACTCTCTGTATTCTTTAAATAATTAAAATGAACATGTAATAGATTGATAATGTTACTACATGTAGAATGCAAAGAGAGCCGTGCAGTAATTAAACTTCAGGTGGCTTATACAAGAGTGAGTATCAAAAGTAGGGAAAAAACTATGGTGAGGGCTTCTGACAAGGTACAGGAAAAATTGTAGATGTGTGGGATGTTTTCTTTGGGGGCAAAATTGAGGTTAGATTTAAGTTCTTTCATCTTTCAGTCATTGTAAGCTGAAGTACCTAGGACCTGTGTATTTTACAGTGTACATCATTCTTTATAATGTTTACATGAAAGCAAGAGAAGCCAAATGATACCTGGCTACTCCTCTATATCTTCCTCAATGGCATATGCACTTGAATTTGAAAGCAAAAGGTCAGTTTGATATGAGCAACTGACTTTTCCCTTACATTGTTTTGCTTCAGTAAGAAGACTCCCAAAATTTTTGTTAGACATTTTCTCTAGTTTATGCTAAGAAAAAATAATAACAACACAATTTTTCATTTGGCAAGCAATCAATACAATCCACTAATAAGAACTATGATGAAACGTCGATTAGTGCCCAGGATCATGTAAGCTATGGCAAAAACCCCAGTTGCTCTCGATACAAACCCCTAACTGAAAGCAATGCTGTCTCAATTGTCTCTGAGGTTAAATATCCTTTAAACGGTCTTAAAGTTTTCACAAAACCCTACTTTTCAAACGGAATACCAGCGTATCAATAAAAAGGTTGAGTAAATCGCTTAGTAATGATTTTTCTCCTACTTCACAGACATTGGAGGAAATGTGATCAACATAACTATTGTCATCACAAGTGAAACATGTATAGATGGAAAATACAACCAATCCTTTTTACTGGAGAAATTTAAAGAACTGGTAACTTATGTACATATAACTTAGATTATTAGTTATATTAGTTTACGTTGGACGGATTTTTTGTCTCACAAATGAACTGTGTGCCTGTGTTAAACTTCACTTTATCTGTGCTATTGCCAATTCTAGTTGTCACTGTGTGTTTGTTACTTCAGGGTCAGAGTGTTAGCTGTATCATGATTAAAAAGAAATTTAGATCGTGAAGAATGTATGGAGAATATTTAATTAAGTCTACAGTGTTTCTCGAATTCCTAGATTGTACGCAGTCTTTCAGAGTTCTGGCAAATCTTTAACTTGAAAATTAAGCTTGACACAATCTCCCTATTATTCAGTATTTACTCATGTTCTGTATTCAGGGCAATAAGACGCCTGGTGCTCTTTTTCCAAATTAAAATAAGAGGCAAGTGACAAGAAGAAGAACAATCATTCATTGAAGTAGCACTTTAAAGAAACAACTGATTAATACTCAGAGACTGATTCTCAGCCGATTCTCGGCAAAACAACCATGTTCAATTTAAGACATGATATTCGGTGTCATCCTCAGTTGCTTATGTGTGATACATGTACACTAACATTTTAAGACAAATAATGGAAATGCTTACTTGCAGCTTGAGGATGCTTTTGCTGATAAACTTGGCTATGAAAGAGTGCAGTTGATATGTGTGAGGTGTGTGAATTAATGGGATTTAGATGATTGCCAGTTGCTCTCAGTTCCAAAGATTTCAATTTAGAAATTTTATTATTTGCTCTTTTGTTATCTGTTTTCAATTTCATGTCACTCTAACCCTCATTTAATGTCTTCCCAAGGTGTGGAAGTATCATTGTTGACTTTGCACTGAAATTCAACTCCACTACAAAGGAACAAGATGTTATCATAACCCTTCGAGATTATGCGAAAGATGGAAAGCTGGGAGAGTTCAGTGTTGCTGCCATAAAATTGAAAGGACCTGATGTGGAACCGACAGGCGAAGGTGCCACATCACCACTTGACCGGTCCTATGGGCGTAAGTTGCAAGTTGATTAATGAATATCCTTGCCCTGTACTTGATTGTAAGCATATTTTTTTAGTGTGAAGGTTTAGCAGGTTTATACAGAGATCTGAAAACTTGGTGTATAAAGGTAATGATAACAACAACAATCACAACCAGCCCCGATTTGAGCACTAATAGGACAATGTATGCATCACGTGTGCGCACTTTTGTTGTGCATTTGTTCAAGTTAACTGTTGATTTCCAGGCGAACATGTAACGAATGGTTAGTATGTTTCCTTTTATCTCGTGCTTCTTATTTACTTAAGTTCACTTTTGTTGAATAGTTTTAGAACATGATTCATTTACATCCTTTTTTATGAGATGGTTAATAGGAAAAAATGTGTGGCCCGCATGAGTCCGAAAAAATAGCAGCCATCCTTGCTCTCCTCAAATTAATCGAGTGTATTTTTCGTTGAATCTTCAGAGCTTCCGAGTTGGACGAAAACAGGTAAAGCATTCTTTAATGACAAATGCCGGACTTTGTAAATGTTAAGCAGCGAGTAATTTAATTTGATTCAGTACTTTCTAGACACCTATGAAGTTTAGTTTCCTAAAAATAACAATCGAAAAAACGATTACTGTCCAACTGAATCGAGCTTTAACTTTTGACTCCAGGGACAGAATTTTGCTTGTGGTACGTACCTGGTAAATTATTTCTCAGAGAAGTTGCCAGCTGAATTTACGTCCGTAAATTAGTTTTTTCACTCGATAATTTTTCTCGTTGCCTCTTGTTCAAACTTAACACCAACATCGCACAGATAAGCGTAAATTTCAATTGACTTCTCACTTTTACTTGCTAAGATAAATCCATAACTTCAAAGAGACATTTTCTGCTTCTTTTGTTGTACTATTCAAATGCTGAAAATTTAGAGAATAGCACCACGCTCCCAATAGTACTTAAGGAGGTATCTTGTGAAGCTCATTGAATTACATTGACGACTGTGTGGCGATTATATTGATGACCGTGTGGCAATTACGAATTCGAGTACGCTAGACGTCAAGTCGGTTCTCCACAAGAACCTAATAAAGTTACTGAACCAAACGCTGTCTCATCCTTGAGGTCCGCAGCAAGTTCTCTTGAAGCAGGTCTCCGTGCTTCCGTTCCCGCTGCAAGTGGTCTCTGCCGAGCTATTTTCCCAGTTATTGTTGCGTTCCCCGCAAAAGTCTAGTTAGTGCGAACAACCTATCGTCACACTCTTTCTTAGTTTTGCTGTGAATAACCAATCGGAAGTTGTAGCTTAAAAGCTTGTTAAAGGGGAGAATATTCTATGTAAACTATCCGTTACGTCCTTAAACCTTGCATGAGCAGAATTTTTACCCCCTATCTTTTTCTGAACTAGAAAATAATTACGCATTGAAGCCTGTTAAGTTCTATATGTGTAATCAATTTTAAAACGCAAAATTGTAGGAAGGAGATAAATTGAGTTCTTAGATAATTCCAAATGTTTCCTGACCATAAGAGGAGTACAGACGCAGATTCTTTACTTTAAGACCACTAGAAAAAATTTTCTGAAGCTTATCACGCATTGTAGGTACCATAGGTATTGTTGTTGGTACAGTGTTTGGATCAGTTGCTGCACTGGCTGTTGCTGGAATATTAGTTTGGTGGACTTACAGGAAAAGGAGGCGCAATACGAAAGGCACCGAAGGTAAGTGTTGCATACATATTATACTCTCAAATGAACACTGGTTTTGGCATCCTTGATATATATATTGAATATTTTTCATTTCTTCTAGGACTAAGTGCAATCTTCAGTTCACTATCCACTGCATTAAGATCTCTGTTAAAGCGATTTCTAAATTTTTAAAAGAGAACTTTTAAAAAACAGTTCATTGTAAACTAATAATCTTTTGTTGTTTTTATCTATTTTTTGGTTGGCTAGTTATAGTTAAAAGACCTCCCATGATATTCTATACTTTAAGACTAAGCTTGATATACATCAAACAGACTTTACTTCGCCTGTGAGGGATAAATTTTGCTTGGTGTCAATTATTGTTTTGTTTTGTTTTGGTTTCCTGTTTATTTTCCTGTTTTATTTTTCACTGCAGAGGTGGCGATGAGCGGAAGGTGAGATTTTACTTTCGAATTGTTGTTGTCTACTTGCGTTGTTCCTTTTTGGCTCCATTGTTTTAACAATTTTAACACCCACACTGTTTTTCATGTGAATGTTTGTGATTGATCTAATTACCACCACCTTGAAGGTAGTCTTGCGCAGCAGAGATACCACTATATACTTTTGGACAATGAATTTCATGACTGTCACCTGTACAATAACCAGCATCGTAATGATCTGTAGAAAAACTTTGAAAAAACAAGAACAGCGACAAATTTTAAGTGTATGTAATTTAATTGTATGCTTTATTCTTACATATATATATATATATATATATATATATATATATAGAGAGAGAGAGAGAGAGAGAGAGGGAGAGAGAGAGTCGAAAAAAATGCCAGGATGGACAACTTCTGACGTAAAAAAAGTTCTACTAACCATTTTTAATATATGTATGTATATATATATATATATATATATATATATATAGGAAGTCTGCAAGTCGATTTTCGCGTGGAACAGTGCTCAATACGTTGAAGCAGAGCAGAATAAATATTATGAGAGGGAAAAAGGGACGCAACTACATTTCCCGACAAGCCTGTTTCGTGAATCGCTTCACTCTTCATTCACGAAATAGGCTTGTCGGGAAATGTAGTTGCGTCCCTTTTTCCCTCTCATAATATATATATATATATATATATATATATGTATATACATATAAAAGACGTAACTATTCTGTGACTCTGAATTTCATGCTTACCCGATCATCAGTCAGATTTTAATGAGGAGTATGCCTCACTTAGTTTAAATATAGATATATAAAGTAGTTAGTTAATCAGTAAGTCTATTGTAATATGGTGTCGAAATTCATTAGGAAGTACTGTAAAATTCCGAAAATAAGCCCCGGGGCTATATTTTTCAAAATATATTTTTTTGAAAGAGGCTTATATTCGGAGGGGCTTATCATAGGGGGAGATTTCCGTTTCAAAATTGGCTGGGCTTATAATTGAAGGGAAATTTGTGTCAAAATTTTTGAATGCGCACCTAGTAATATTAGGGGGCTTATATTCGAAGGGGCTTA